ACCTGGTGGCACAGTGGTTGAGAGTCCGCCTGCCGATGCAGGGGACACGGGTTAGTGCCCCGGTCCGGGAGGATCCCACATGCCGTGGAGTGGCTGGGCCCGTGAGCCATGGCCGCTGAGCCTGCGCGTCCGGAGCCTGTGCTCCGCAACGGGAGAGGCCACAACGGTGAGAGGCCCGCGTACCGCAAAAAAATAAATAAATAAAATAAAATAAAGTGTCTTTAAGTAGAAACACACATAAAACAACTGGTTATATATTGACCAGTTAACAAAAATGTTGTGACCAAAGGCTCTCAGGAACCTAACCCTGTACTTCCCTTAGGAGCAATTATGCAGTATTCACTAATTCAGTGTTTGAGGCAACCTTATAGAAGATACAAGAATGGATGATATACATAAATGAGTCAAAGAAATTTTAGGAACTTTAATTTCTTTTAAGCTAGAGAAACAAGCCTGAATAAGGGACATCTCTGGGGACTTTCCTGGTGGTGTGGTGGTCAAGAATCCGCCTGCCAATGCGGAGGACACAGGGTCAAGCCCTGGTCTGGGAAGATCCCACATGCCATAAAGCAACTAAGCCTGTGCACCACAACTACTGAACCCCGCGTGCCTAGAGTACTGCTCCACAACAGGAGAAGCCACCGCAATGAAAGCCTGCGCACCGCAACGAAGACCCAACGCAGCCAAAAATTAATTAATTAATTTTTTTTTAAAAGAGAGAGACAGCTCTGGTAGCCATTTATTTATTCAATCAATGAATGTATATTGAGTTCTTCTATGTGCTGGGCATAAAGTGGTACAGAAAGATATTGTCCTGACTTTCTGGAAGTTTGTGTTCTAGAAAGGAAGGGCCACCACTCATATATGTTGTATAATGTACAACCTGACTGCGGAATACAGATGTAACCAAATAATCACATTAATGAATTAATGGCCACAAACTTGGATCAGTAAGAACATGGTTCGCTTACAGAAAAGACACCCAACTTAGATGGAAGGTGATGGAGAGAATATTCCAGTCAGAAAACATGGCCTGGGCAAAGGTCTGTAGCAGGAGGGATCGTGACATTCTGTAGAAACTGAGAGAACATTATGCCTGAAGCAAAAGAAAGAAAAGAAAAATGTTCTAAAATAAAGCTAAAGAGAGAGGCAGGGGGTGAACCATCCAAGGCCTTAGAAGCCAAGCTAAAAAAAAAATGTTCATTTTATTCCGAGTGCAATGGGAAAACTAACGAGAGGTGATTATTTACCTTATAAAGATCACTTTGGCTGCAGTGCAAAGATGGCAGAAGTGGGTGGTCTAAATCAATGTGTGTGGGACTTCCCTGGTGGTCCAGCAGTTAAGACTCCACGCTCCCAATGCAGATGGTCCAGGTCCGATCCCTTGTCAGGGAACTAGATCCCGAAAGTCGCAACGAAGATTCTGTGTGCTGCAACTAAGACCTGGCACAGCCAAATAAATAAATACTAAAAAAAAAAAAGAAAGAAAGAAAATAATTCTATATACATTACTCTACACCTTCCCTTTTTCTCTTAACACAAAGCATGGACATATCAGCCAGTGATAAAGGTCAAATTTCTTCATTCTAATATATTTGTGCAAATATATATGTATAATTTTATATAGCTGGAATAGTACGCATGTTATTTTTTTCACTTCTGGGTCTTCCATTTTACCACAAGCAAATTAAAACTTCAATGCCTCAGTTTTCTCACCTGTAAAATGAAGTTAATTTTGTGAGCATTTACTGAGTTAGTGTATATAATATATTTATAACTATACCAGACATACTAAATACTATTAATTGTTATTATTGTAAGGAAAAATTGGCAAAGACTCTCTAGGCATGCAGGCTTCAGTAGTTGTGGCACGCGGGCTCAGTAGTTGTGGCCCATGGGCTTCGTTGCTCTGCAGCATGTGGGATCCTCCCAGACCAGGGATCGAACCGTGTTCCCTGCATTGGCAGGTGGATTCTTAACCACTGAGCCACTGGGAAGTCCCCAATAGACCTTTTTTGAATCTCTTTGTAGATTCATTCCAGCATTCCTTATTTGCCTATATAATATGTGGTTCTTTGAATTTTCCTTTGAACCAATTGTAATATCTTACTGGTTCTCTTATTAACTAATGAGCTAAATAAAATCTTGATACACATTTCATTTTATATTTGTATGAAAATCATGATTCCACTTTCTTTGAAGTATCTTCAACACTATAATTAGTAGTCTTTTTTAAAAAAAAAAACCCATTGTCAAAATGGGTTTTTACGTCAAATGTTTATGCCCACTTTTTCTAAACAACACAAGGATATTCTCACACATGTAAAGGTACAGACACATATAAAAAATATGGAACACACATACTTTCATTATTAAAAGTGCTTGAAGAAATCAGCATACTGAAGCATAAATCAACATTAAGAACTCTAGAAGAGGGACTTCTCTGGTGGTGCAGTGGTTGAGAATCTGCCTGCCAATGTAGGGGACACGGGTTCGATCTCTGGTCCAGGAAGATCCCACATGCCACAGAGCAACTAAGCCCATGAGCCACAACTACTGAGCCCACGTGCCACAACTACTGAGCCCACGTGCCACAACTACTGAAGCCTGCGCGCCTAGAGCCCGAGCTCCACAACAAGAGAAGCCCCTGCTCGCCGCAACTAGAGAAAGCCCACGTGCAGCAACAAAGACCCAACACAGCCAAAATAAATAATAAAAAAATTTTACAAAGAACTCTAGAAGAGCAAAGAAGTTTCACACGAAAATTCCTTAAATTTAAATCATAAATAAATACAGCTCTGGGTTTGTAGCAAATGTATTTTACTGTTTAAAACTTGCAAAATGAATTAATGTGATTCTGACTCAGCGTTGTCTGAGCGCTTACAAATTCATAAATAAGCCACAACAACCATGCCAAGAATATTTCTTGAATGAAAGGTAAATAGCTACAAGACCTTTGGTTGGTACCATGAAAAATGAAGTACAGGTAATTAGCATAACAGTGACTTACTAATCCTGCTGTTGGAAAACATGGTAAGCATTACATCATGTATGCCCACATTTCCACTTAAAAAAGAAAAGATGTAGCACACTTAAATGTGCAACTCTTGAAATGAATTAATAAATATATTTCCGACTTATATGGGTACCACTATAAGTAACCTCAAGGAATCTATATCATTTCCACCCAGAATGTTTACTTCTTGTAAAGAAAGACAAGTCTTTCCCCCACAAGTTCAAATCACTACTTTTAATGGAATGTCAGCTAAATGCTAACCAGATATCAAGGCTTCTAAAAAGTTTACATGCCTCTAGACCAAATATCCCCTAATTTTGTCTTAAAGGACCAGACAGTAAATATTTTTGACTTTGCAGACCACAGGGTCTCTGTCAGAGTATTCATAGTTGTACAAAATACTGACAGTATATCAACAAATCGGTATGGCTGGGTTCCAATTAAATTTATTTACCAAAACAGGCAGAGAGCCAGACTTGGCCCTAGGGACACAGTTTGTTGACCCCCTTGCTCTAGACCTTTCCTCTCGAACTCACAGTTAGTGCAAAACAAAGACTGAGGAGAGGGGCATAAATATTCCTGTCGCCTCCACACGCACTGCCAGGTCCCTATTTTCCCCGATGAATCAGAGCTCAGGGTCCTTGTGTCTCCCTAGAACTGTTCTCTAAATAGCACAGTAGCCCCTCAGGCAAGCAGCGGAGAATCTCTCCTTTGTCTTGCTTATTAGTATCCCAGATTGTTCTTCCGAGTCAGTGAAGAAGTGGAGATGCAGAGAAAATTTTCAGAGAAATCTTCTGTAATATGTGACTCAATCTGACTTCAAAGGGATCCTCTTCTGGCTCAGAGAAAGGCCTTCCTTCTAACCTGAAACACCACTTCTTTCTCAAAGGAAATTAAGTACCAGAGTGTCTTAGCCTGCCATCTTGTGGCGAATTGGAGTATTTCCAAAGGGAAATCCTTGGACCAAGACAAGGGCAACAAGATATTGAAAACAGTTCCCTTTAGCTCAGTTTCTGGAAAAGAATCCGAAAAGGAATACATATAAATATATATATACATACATATAACTAAATCACTGCTGTGCTGTACACTAGAAACTAACACAACATTGTAAATCAACTATACTTCAATTAAAAACAAAAAAGACAAGGGCAACGAGGTGACATGCCTGCTTCGTAACAGCCACTCTGTAACATGTGCTAGACATGCGGCTATACAGAGAACCAAAAGAGCCACAGTCTTTTGTCCTCAAGGAGCTTACGGTCTGTAAGACAGCAGATAAATACTAATTTTTAAATTGCACAAACATATGTAAAATTACAACCAAGAAAAATGGTCTGAAGGAGCCTTACACAGGTGCTCTGAAAGTAAATAAAAGGGATTCGACCGAGGCAGGGAAGGTGGAGAAGCTTCCCTGAAGATGGGATGATTAACTCAAAGTGAGTAGGGATTTACCAGGCAAAAAAGTGAGGGAAGATGATTTCAGAGAAAGGGAACAGTGTCTGTAAAAGCTCTGTAGCAGGAGGAAAGCAGGGGGGACTCTGGTCTGAGATAAGGCCAGGGAGGTAAAGAGGGGCCAGCTTATGCAGGGCCTCAGAAACCATGAAAATGAGGGAGGGGAGTTTTTTATCTTATAAGCAGAGTGAAACCATAAAATGGTTTTAAACAAGGAGGCATGACAAAATCAGATTTACATTTCACAACGATTACACTGTGTTATCAGTCAGGGTCCAATCAGGAGAGAGAAACTACACAGTAATTTGAAGAGGGAAAGTTTAATATCAGGAATTATTAACTCTTTAACAGGAGGTCAGAGTAATGAGGGACTGGGCTGTAAGACAGGAAGAGAATTCTAAAAAATACAGGTGTAGCAGCTACAAGGAAGAGCCACACCCCAAGGGAGGGCCTCCCACTCCCAGGGCTGAGACCCAGACCTTGTTGGAGAGGGAACCTCTGTGGTGGCTCCCTGGATGGCAGAGAAGCTGCAGAGCTGGAAACCGGTCACCATCCCCCTCTAGGGTGCCAAGGGAAGCCGTTCAAAGGGCAGGAACTCTCTGAAGGCACACTGCTATGAAGCCACCCAAAGGGGGCACCACGAGAAGTTTCTGGCTGCTGGGTGCTCCTGGACACTGTGCACTACAGGAGCTGGGCCCAGGATCCTGGGGCTGGAGAAGCCGTGCACACCGCGGAACCTGCAGAGTGCAGGACATCCCAAGGAGGAAAAAAAACTTCCTCCTACAGTGTCTCTCTAGTGCCCTCTACTGACAAAGTTTAGCATCACGCCAGCCCGCAAAGGAAAACTATTTAAAGGACCCAGCAGAGCAGGCAATGCAAGTGGATTTGAAGCTGAGAGGCTATAAATTGATAACCAGAACACATTGGCCTCCATGTGGTGAGCCTTCTAAAAGAGGAGCAGACAGACCAGTTAGGAGGTACTTAAGTAGTCCAGGAGAGAGAAGAGAAAGTGGTAATAATCTATAAGGTGCTGGACAAAATACACTTGCAAGTCCCCCATGGGCTACAGGAAAGACACCAAAAAAGCACAGTTTATGTCCTTGTGCTCAATGGACTTGCAGAAATGCTGCCTCAGAAATCATGGCTAAGAGAACAAGGAGGGTCAGCTGGCAGGGGTCCCAGGACAAGAGATGGGCAGCACCAGCCCTACTGAGGCAACTCTTTCTATACAAAAGGCACAGGAGTAGTATTGCTCCCAAGAGACAGACTTGCCAGGCTTAACAAACACATCAGGTGCAATCAAAGCTGCACCCAATCCATGCAAATACTACCACAGCCGGGCTTGCAAGAGCAGGCCTTTTGGGTCTCATAAGTTACTAGAGAAGAGTATGCATGGCTTGTGACAAACCATCCACTCCCATTTTTAAAAAGCTTTTAAATGAGTGGTCTTTTTTAACAGCCAGCAAGCCTGACTTTCTGGTCTTTCATACAGATCTTGAATCTACCCACTGTCAAGATCATCAGGGGGGCAGGGTCCAGGTGAGGGGGGTAAAGTGCCACAGCTTGTCTGTAAGGAGTCACCCCCTCATTTTTCCAAACCATTAACATCGCCAAGTAGTAGAACTTGAGTACCAACTGGGAAGCGAAGGTTGAGGTAAATTTCTCAACAACTAAAATTTACTAAACACAAAGATAAACAACTGTGTATAATGGATCCCTCTGGGCGGTGAGACTGAGGATGGGGAGGGGAGTGGGGCAGTGATTTTTAAATAAACCCTTCTATGTGGTTTGATATTTTTTTAACCAGGCCTGAGAGGAAAGTGGAGAGAAGCTTTCCAGTGGATAAGAGAAAGTTGTTAGATTATGACATTGGACTGGAATTGTAATTACTCAAAGATTACTCTTGAGTCTGAAAGTGACCAGAGGACTTCTTATCTGAGAGTGGCTAAAGAAGTTATGGGATGATAAAGGTGGCAGGAAAGTACAGTGGAGAAAGGACAGCCTTTTCAATAAATGGTGCTGGGAAAACTGGACAGGTACATGTAAAAGTATGAGATTAGATCACTCCCTAACACCATACACAAAAATAAGCTCAAAATGGATTAAAGACCTAAATGTAAGGCCAGAAACTATCAAACTCTTAGAGGAAAACATAGGCAGAACACTCTATGACATAAATCACAGCAAGATCCTTTCTGACCCACCTCCTAGAGTAATGGAAATAAAAACAAAAATAAACAAATGGGACCTAATGAAACTTCAAAGCTTTTGCACAGCAAAGGAAACGATAAACAAGACCAAAAGACAACCCTCAGAATGGGAGAAAATATTTGCAAATGAAGCAACTGACAAAGGATTAATCTCCAAAATTTACAAGCAGCTCATGCAGCTCAATAACAAAAAAACAAACAACCCAATCCAAAAATGGGCAGAAGACCCAAATAGACGTTTCTCCAAAGAAGATATACAGATTGCCAACAAACACATGAAAGAATGCTCAACATCATTAATCATTAGAGAAATGCAAATCAAAACTACAATGAGATATCATCTCACACCAGTCAGAATGGCCATCATCAAAAAATCTAGAAACAATAAATGCTGGAGAGGGTGTGGAGAAAAGGGAACACTCTTGCACTGATGGTGGGAATGTGAATTGGTTCAGCCACTATGGAGAACAGTATGGAGGTTCCTTAAAAAACTACAAACAGAAGTACCATATGACCCAGCAATCCCACTACTGGGCATATACCCTGAGAAAACCATAATTCAAAAAGAGTCATGTACCAAAATGTTCATTGCAGCTCTATTTACAATAGCCCGGAGATGGAAACAACCTAAGTGCCCATCATCGGATGAATGGATAAAGAAGATGTGGCACATATATACAATGGAATATTACTCAGCCTTAAAAAGAAACAAAATTGAGCTATTTGTAATGAGATGGATAGACCTAGAGTCTGTCATACAGAGTGAAGTAAGTCAGAAAGAAAAAGACAAATACCGTATGCTAACACATATATGTGGAATTTAAGAAAAAAAATGTCATGAAGAACCTAGGGGTAAGACAGGAATAAAGACGCAGACCTACTGGAGAATGGACTTGAGGATATGGGGAGGCGGAAGGGTGAGCTTTGACAGGGCGAGAGAGAGTCATGGACATATACACACTAACAAACGTAGTAAGGTAGATAGCTAGTGGGAAGCAGCCGCATGGCACAGGGATATTAGCTCGGTGCTTTGTGACAGCCTGGAGGGGTGGGATAGGGAGAGTGGGAGGGAGGGAGACGCAAGAGGGAAGACATATGGGAACATATGTATATGTATAACTGATTCACTTTGTTATAAAGCAGAAACTGGCACACCATTGTAAAGCAATTATACCCAAATAAAGATGTTAAAAAAATATATATATATATATTGAATAGAAGCCATGGCTTTAGGCACCCATGTCACATTATTGTTCTTGAAGGAACGCTTTCAATAATTCATCATTAAGTGTGGTGTTTACTGTATGACGTTTGTAGATTTTAAAAATAAAATTAAGTTACCTTCTATTAAAAAAAAAAAAAGAAGAAGTTATAGGATACGCCTGAGATAATCAGTGGGGAAAGAACAGTTTCCCTCTGCTGGCACCCCTTTGATTCCAGCTCTCAATACAACTGCACCCCTAGCGTTGAGAAAGAATTATGTAGAATAAAGCTCTGCTTGTTCAGTGGAACTAGGATTTGGACAAGTCTGAATCTAGGGGTAGCCTTGGTTCCTGAGATAGAGACCAGCAAGCTCTTTTATTCCAGGAAAGTTTTGCTTGCTTCTTGCAGTTCAATTTTGATAATGCTGCAGCATCAAACCAAAACTCTTCCTGTTTCGGAGGCGTGAATCGATATATCAAAATATTTTGAAGCATGAATCAGTCATGAAACAGACCATCCTGGTGCAATTACAAAGAAGGACTCAGCTAAAAACTTCTTGAATCCATCATCCTGCCCATAAAGAAAATATAAAAGGGTAAGAGTAAAGTTTGGAAGGGAATTGGAGGATTTCTTCAGAGAGCCTTGCTGATCCTCCAACCAGAGGTGGTGGGTGTGAGAGCCCTGCCTTTCTAACTTCAAGCTTAGCAAGGGGACCTCTGCAAGACCACCCAAAGAGCTTACACTTCAGGAGTCCCAGTGGATCGCTGTCTACTCCCACCTGGGAAATCTGGAGAGCAGTGGTGCCTTCCACAGGTGGCTGGTTCTTTTTCTTGTGGTCTTTCAGAGGTTCCTCCTGCAATGCCTCTCCTCCAGCAAATCCCTGACTATACCCCACCACCCTCCGCAACTTCCGCATCTAATCTTACAGCTCTAGGCCCTCTGCTGAGGTCTCCTCACCTCTGAGCAATGCCCTTAAGGAGAGTTCTTTTCCAAGTGACCTCAGCGCCAGCTCCCTACCACAGACCCACATGGCGCAGAGAAAACTCACTCATCATTGCCCTTCTCTCATTATAACAACGTGTTCATAATCTAATTCCACCCAGGGAAAGAAAGTGCACTTGTCTCACCCTCAAAGCTCTGAATTAACAGCTTGGACACCAGCCATTAATAACAATTCAACGAGAGAATATTGGTACTTCCACTGCAAAGAGACCAAAACACACACACACAATTTAGATTTCTGGCTTGCATGGGTGGGGCTACAAAATATTCCACCCTATGTACATAACTATATTTTAATTAACAAATTCCCTATTTGTTAGACGGTTCGATTATTACCAACTTATTTTATTAACGCAATTCCTGGAAACCAAAATGCCGAGTCACGTGGGACTCCAGGCAGGCGCAGAGCTGGGATTCTAACGCACCAGAAGAGAAACGCCGTGCCCAGCAGGCCTCGGCGCTTGCGCACTGGAGCCGACCCTTCACTGTCGCGCTTGCCGCGCGCATGTATCACCCAGGCAGTGCTTTTTCACATCCATCTTCCCGGCTCCCGTAGGCCTCCTTCCAGAAATTCAGCTTTCACTCCTCCTGCTTCCTAGAGGAACCCGTTTCCAGACTGTTAGGGGTGGCTTCTGAAACCGCCCAGTCCTGGAGAGCACGCCCCCTACGTCCTGCCCTAATGGAAGCGTGCGCTCACCATCCAATCCGGGGGACCGGGCGGGGCCCCGGGCAGGGAGGAACCCTATCAGAGTCGAGGCCCCGCCCCTTTCGCAGCACCTGTTGGGACAGGGGGCGTGGTATTGTACTGAAAGATTTGTGAGCGTTAAAGAAAGTACTAAAAGTTCCTGACGCTTATAGAGCATAAATAACTTGTAGCTGTTGTTACTGCCTCCATGGCTACTCATTTTCCTTCCAGCGTCAGTAGTAGTTTATTTCCACCTCTCCCAAGATTCCTCTTGCGCGCTCGATCATCTTTCACCTTCTCAAGAACTTCTAAGTCACTCCTGTGGCCTTCACTTTATAGTTTTCTAACTGAACCTTCTCCTTCAGCCCGTCTTCCCATCATTTATACACAAATATCCTGTTCTCTTAGCTCCTCACTGCTCTATCTACCTCTCCGTTGTCGCTCTTCCTGTCTATTGAAAACCAAAGTTACCCCGTCTGTCTCTTCTTTGTCCCTCCAAGCCCATCTACTTCACTGGAATCTGGCTGCTTCTACTCACTCCACTAAAACTGTCCTCAGCAAGGTCTTCAGTGGCCATATCATTAAATCCAAAGGACATTTCCGTGCTGCGTTCCCTACAGCACCTGACACATCTGCCTGTATTCGCTGTAAACCCCTTTGCTGCTCCCTCTGCTATCCATGGCGCTCACACTCCTGAGAGGTTTTCCTGCCCCTCTGATCACTCTTTATCTGCCAGGGGTTTGTCTTCCTTGCCCTGCCTCCCTCTGCTGCTTCCCAGGTCACACTAGTCCTCTGTGTCACTTTCCACACTCCCATGGGTGAGCCGTCTCATGTCATTGTTTTGCTGTGCCAATGACTCCCAAATCCATACCTCTAGCCCACATCTTTCTTCTGAGCTTCAGACTCTTGGCTATCCCAAAGGAACTTCTGACTTAGCACCTCCAAAACGTATCTTTTCCAGAAAACCTGCTTCAACTTCACATCGTTTCCTGTGTTCCTCATCTCGGTGGATGGCATCATTTGCTGCCTCAAGCCGGGAATCGAGGCGCTACCTTAGACTCCTCCCTCTCCTCCACGCCCAGTTGTGGATCAGTTTCCCTAGGAAACAGACGCTGAGACTTACGTGCAAGTGGTTTGGGGGTATAGGAGTGCCCTCAGAAACAGCACCTGTGAGGGCTGAGGGAGGGAGGATCCGGGGAGGGAGTTGAACTGTTCACGGTAGCCTCAGCCAATCCTGTGGTGAGCTCTGGACCTGGAATGGCCCTTCAAAACTGTCCCAGACTTAGGCAAGGGGTGGAACACATACCCCCCAATCAACCTGTCACTGGATGTGGTGGGCTGCTCTCAGGAGGGAGTGTGACCTTAGGTGAGGTGGTCTCCTTGCTGAGGGTAATTCCTGTGGAGGGATTAGGCTGACTGCCATCAGCCATCAAAACTCCCAGCACCCTGGAGGAATGAATGCCCAGTCTTAAAGAGGGAACCTGGTCATCACACCACAGTACCCACTAGACCCCTCACACTCGAGTTAGTCATCAACCGTTTTACCTATTTCTGCACTTTAATATTCAAATCAGATCCCACCTCCTTCACACTACTCTCTTTACTATTCAAAAAAATATCTGAGAGTCTAAATGTATCAGGCACTCTGGCAAGGACAGAATGACGGGTCAAGCAGACACCATTCCAGCTTTTAAGATGCTTAAGGTCTAGTTGGGAAGCAAATAAATATATACTTTAAAACTGTAAGTGTTCTGAAGAAAAACTAAAAGTGCAGAATGCTATGATATCTTATAACAAGGGAGGCTTGCCCAGCCTGGGAGTGGGGTGGAGGCTGGAAAAGCTTCCCTGAAGAAGTGTCATTTGAGCTGGAATCGGAAAGATGAGTGGGCATTAATTAGCAGGTGTGTACTTGGTTGTTGGGGTGGGTAGGGTGGGAGAGATGTGGACTGGCTAAGGAGACTGCCTGTGCAAAGGTCCTGAGACAGGTGGAACAAGGTGTTGGAGGACCCAAAAAAATGCCAGCACATCTCAGAATGTCTGGTATGCAGAAACTGAGGGGGAGTAGTAGTAAGAGATCATCTGAAGAGGCAGGCAGGAGCCAGGTCCCACAGAGCTAAATATTTGGATCTTTTTCCCTAAAAGTAATGAAAGCCACTGAACAATTTTAATATTTATGTAGTATAATGATATACCTTAGTTAGGCAGAATATTCAACTACCCCCAATCAATGCAGATAAAATGGATCATATAGATATATGAAATAGTTAAAACCTAAATTCTGCTAATCTTTTTTAAAATTGTAATTTATATTTATTTATTTAGTTTTGGCTGCGTTGGGTCTTTGTTGCTGCACGCAGGCTTTCTCTAGTTGCGGCGAGCGGGGGCTAATCTTCGTTGTGGTGCACGGGCTTCTCATTGTGGCGGCTTCTCTTGTTGCAGAGCACGGGCTCTAGGCGCACAGGCTTCAGTATTTGTGGCACGCGGGCTCAGGAGTTGTGGCTCGCGGGCTTCAGTAGTTGTGGCTTGTGCGCTCTGGAGCGCAGGCTCAGTAGTTGTGGCACACGGGCTTAGTCACTCTGCGGCCTGTGGGATCTTCCCAGACCAGGGTTCGAACCCATGTTCCCCTGCGTTGGCAGGCGGATTCTTAACCAGTGCCACCAGGGAAGGCCAATTCTGCTAATCTTCAGTGCTGGGGGCAAAAAAAAAAAAAAAAAAGTTTTTTAGTGCGGTACTATTATTACTACAATAGCCTGCTTCTCTACCTCTAATGGCTACTCATGGTTCCTCTGAAAAATAACACCTAGCTGCTACCGACTGCGTACTAAGTGCCAGCATGTTAGGTGCTTTGCATAAATTACCTGACTTAATAAAACACCTTTACAAAGTGGGTACAATTTAGAAACTGAGATACGGAGAGTGCAATTCGCCCAAGTTCTTACAGTCAGTATGTAAATGGCAGCGTAAGACATGAAGCCAGATGTCCAATTATAAAGCTAAGCTCTTGACTGCTGCACTCAATACCCCATTTAAGCGTTGGGAACCACCTAACTGCACCTGACTTTGAGTATTTCCCCACTGCCCTGAACTCCTCCCATCATGCCCTGCACATGAGCTCAGACCCCTTTTGTAAATCAGTGTCAACCTGACTCCAGTTCAGGTTTGGAACACACACACCCTTAGATACCACACAACAAACCACAGGCTAGAAGGGCACTCGTAGAACCAGAGCACTTTCTCCCAGTGATTCCACCCAGTGCTGACTTATTCTCCCTTTACCAGCCCATGATTTTCCTACCACAATCTTCTGGCAGCTAAACCTACCAGTTTTAACAAATACTTGTTAGAGGAATGCAAACTCACCAGAATATGATCCAAAGAAAAACAAGGAGGAAAATCTACTGTAATCTTCTCCTAAGATTATTATGATTGTTTTATCATCCTGTTTGTGATTTTTACATTAAAGCTCACCTTCTATTTCTAATCAAGAGCTGGAATGTTCCAATTTGCAGGCTTATAAACAATTGTGAAAATATCCACTAGATGTCAGCCTTGAGCTGCAATGGGGTTCCTGGGATGTGGCAAAGGACTAAACTATTACGGAGAGCATAGAACGGAAAGTGTTTGGAGTTTAGATGATTTTTCCTTTGCACTGTGAACTAAGACAGGAACTCTAGTTAGCTTTTTTTGTTTTTTATTTTTGGCTGCATTGGGTCTTCGTTGCTGCACGCAGACTTTTCTCTAGTTGTAGCGGGCAGGGGCTACTCTTCGTTACGGTGCACAGGCTTATTGCGGTGGCTTCTCTTGTTGTGGAGCACGTGCTTTAGGCACGCGGGCTTCAGTAGTTGTGGCACGCGGGCTCCGTAGTTGTGGCTCACGGGCTCTAGAGCGCAGGCTCAGTAGTTGTGGTGCACGGGCTTAGTTGCTCCGCGGCATGTCGGATCTTCCCGGACCAGTGCTCGAACCCGTGTCCCCTGCATTGGCAGGCGGATCTTAACCACTGCACCACCACCAGGGAAGTCCCTAGTTAGCTTTTTGTATGAACACAATGGTTTGACTTTTCAACAAGTACAAACAGATCAATAAATTACATCTTGTCACTCTGCTCAACAAGCTTAATATGCCCCCTTCTCCTTCAGAGTAAAAATCACACTCCACTGGTCTCACTCTTCCATCCTCACCCACTTCAGCCACGCTGTCCTCTGAACACACCTGAAATTCTTTCCCCAGAAATTCTTGCATTAGTTTCTGATCACACCTGAAATTCTTTCCCCAGAAATTCTTGCATTAGTTTCTGATCACACCTGAAATTCTTTCCCCAGAAATTCTTGCATTAGGTTCTGAACACACCTGAAATTCTTTCCCCAGAAATTCTTGCATTAGGTTCAGGACACTGACTGTGGCCACCTTCTCAAGAGAGGCTTTCCTGGACACGCTTTGTAAAACAGCACCCATCGGGCACCACCCCACCCATAATGTCCCACCTCCTTACCCTGACTTATTTTTTCCTAACACTTTTCACCGCCTAACATATTACATTTACTTACTTATCATTAGTCTCCCTCTGGAATATTAGTTTAGCTCTCTTTGAAAGCAGGAACTTTTTGTCTTGTTCACTGCTTTTTTCCCCCAGAGCCTAGAAAAGTGCCAGGCTTATAGGAGATGCTCAATAAATACCAAATAAATAAATGACCTTAATTCAAAGATATTAAGAAAAGATGTCATACTTCAAAGAATCATTTGTTTTCATTCAGTAACTACTTAGTAAATACCTAATATAAAGAAAGCACTGAATTATGGGAGATACAAGACATTATCTTATTGGTGGGAAACAGTCTCTTGCTCTTAACTCATAAAATCCCAGTAAGCAGGCATGAACAATATTTTAAGAGGCTTTACAAAAAGAATAATATGAATATGACAATCA